CCCCAAAACCCCAAAACCCCAAAACCCCAAAACCCCTATTTCATAATATTTTATTGACAATTCTAATGTTTACAAGAGCAGGTAAGTGAAGGAAAAGCAAAATTCTTAGTCTGAATAGCCTTCAAGATAACTTCAAAAATCTCACTGACAAAGACTCCCAGTTATTCCTGGACCGCATTCAGTAGAATGGCATTCATGAGCAACTCTAAGGCTATGGTTGTGCCAAAGATTTGTTCAACAACTCCTATTTTCCAGAGGAATTTTGCGAAAAAGACAAAGCAAGCTATGAAAGAAGAAGATGAGGCCAAGAAGGAAAAAATTAGGGAAAGATTCCAAGACATGGACTTCCAAGGCCTCAAAGAAGAATGGACAGATGATTTTGACTTATGAATTGAAGGTATTCCTTCAGATTTACGGTTAAAAATTAATATTTAGAATTCGAGGATAACCTCAAGACACTCAAAAATTACAGAGCTAGCCCAAATATGTTCGACCATGTCTCCATCCCTGCATATGGAGACTCTTATGATCTCTGCGAGCTTGGCCAGACTATAGTAAGGGGAGAGAGCAACATCCTCATCTCTGTGTATGATGAGTCCCTCAAAGAATCAGTCATGAAAGCCATCATGATGCATGATGGTGAACTTGAATGCACAATTGAAGGAAAGTACGTCTCAGTCAAAATGGGTATGACAAGGTCCGAAAACAAAGACAAAGTTCTTGACCAAGCCAAGAAAATGCTTCTTGAATTCAGATCCGAAATAGGTAGAGAAAGAGGAAGTTCCCTCAAAACTCTCAAAGAACTCGAGGCTGTGCTCCCCATGGATGATATTGAGATTCAAAGAAAAGAGCTAGAAGAGCTTTATCAGAAGAAGCATGAAGAAGGACAGAAGATTTATGATAGAAAAGTTAAAGACATTACGAAGAAGTAGCTGAAACCATATATCTTCTCAATTATTTCTTCCTTTAAAGGGGTTTTGGGGTTTTGGGGTTTTGGGGTTTTGGGG